GTCTGCTGGCACCTTGACTTTAGACTTCCCAGCCTCCAGAAATGTGAGAGATAAATACCCAGTCTATAGTGTTCTGTTACGGCAGCCCAAATGAAGTAAGACAGTAGGACAGTAAGTTCTGGGTTTGTGGTAGGTGGAACTGTATCCCCCAAATTCCTATGTTGAAGTCCTAGCCCTCTTAGAGGTTGATGTGTTAGTTCCTGGGGCTGCTGTTAACAAAGCCCCACAGACTGGTGACTTACACAGAAATTTACTATCTCACGGTCTGGAGGCCAGAAGCCCGAGTGAGATCAAGGTGTGGGCAGGGTTCCTTCCTTCTGTGGGCTGTGAGGAAGAATTCATTCCATGCCTCTCCCTTAATTTCTAGTGATTTGCCAACAATCTTTGGCATTCCTCGGCTTGTAGAAACGCCCCCACCGCCCAATCTCTGTCTTACCCTTCATGCGGCGCTGTCCCTGTGTGTGTGTGTCCCAATTTCCCCTTCTATAAGGGTATGAGTTTTACTAGATTAGTGGTTCACCCTACTCCAGTAGAACCTTGTCTTAGCTGATTACATCTGAAACGACCCTATAGGGTCACATTCTGAGGTACTGAAGGCTAAAACTTCAACACATGATTGGGCGGGGGGATACAACTCTACCTGTCACTTACTTCTTGCCCCCTTAAAGGGGCAAGGGAAGACCCCTTTAAGTAAGTGACATTTGAGCAAGAGACTTGAATAAAATGAGGGAGTGAGCTCTGCAGACATCTGAGAGAACAGTTTCAGGAGGAGGGAACAGCAAATGTGGAGGTTCTGAGACAGGAAAACCGATCGGCCTGCCAAAGGAACAGGTCACTGTGTCTGGAAGGCAGCAAGGAGAGTGGTGTAAGAGATGAGGTGAGAAACAATGATTCACCGACAGGAAACCCATCAACAAGTTAACAAAATTGAAGGAGAAAAACCTTATGTATTTATCAGGGACCAAAACAAAAAACAAAAAACAGCTGACGTTCCCAGTAAAAGCTCTAAGGTATAAATAGACGAAAACTTCCTCTTATGATAAAGAATATCGGTTAGAGAACAAAAGCATACATCATCTTAATTGTGTGATAGAAAGACATTTCTGTTATTCAGAAATGAGAAGGGGGGCTTCCCTGGTGGCACAGTGGTTAAGAATCCGCCTGCCAATGCAGGGAACATGGGTTTGAGCACTGGTCTGGGAAGATCCCACATGCCGCGGAGCAACTAAGCCCGTGCGCCACAACTACTGAGCCTGCACTCTAGAGACCGCGAGCCACAGCTACTGAGCCCATGTGCCACAGCTACTGAAGCCCGCGTGCCTAGAGCCCGTGCTCCGCAATGAAGAGTAGTCCCTGCTCACTGCAACTAGAGAAAGCCCGCGTGCAGCAACGAAGACCCAACACAGCCAATAAATAAATAAACTTAATTAATTAATTAATTTTTAACAAAAAGAAATGAGGAGGGATGCCAGCAATTATGTTTTTGGTTCAGTATTGTTATTTTTGGAGAGTCTAGCTAAAGCAATAAGATAAGGAAATAAGCAATAATCTCACCATTGTTTGCAGATAATATGCTCCTAAACACACCCCTCTGCCCCAAATGAGGTATTTTCAAACTAACAGAACTGAGTCACACAGACATAGAGATCAGAATTGTCGTTGCCAAGGGGGAGGGGTGGAGGGAGAGGGACGGACTGGGAGTTTGGGGTTGGTAGATGCAAACTGTTATGTATAGAATGGATAAATGACAAGGTCCTACTGTATTGCACAAGGAACTATATCCAATCTCCTGGGATAAAACAGAATAGAAATGAATGAAAAAAGAAGAAGAATATATATATGTGTATAACTGAGTCACTCTGCTGTAGAGCAGAGATTGACACAACATTGTAAATCAACTACACTTCAATTAAAAAAAAATAGAACTGAGTCAGTCATCTTTTATGCCCTAAACTCATGTACTCTGGGTCCACTTTCTTGCTCTAGTCATGGCTACAGCAACCAGCTAGTTGTGCAGATAGAGCCTGGCTGCTGCTTGCCTCAACTGCACTGCACAGCCCTTGCTCTCTACTGCTGCTGCTTGGAATGCTTCTGGAGCTCACTCAACCTACCTGGCACATGTGCACACGTGGAAGAGGGAGTTTGCAGGGCAACCCTGGAGCAATGAGGAATGAGTGCCAGTGGACACATGCTCCCCTCGCTTCTGTGCATCAGTGGACAATTCTGATGTTCGTTCTATACTGCTCCTCAAGCATTCCCACAGCAGTGATAACTCAGCAATGCACCTGGCATAAGATCCCCCCGTCCCTGTTTCTCTTTTCCAGGGCCCCCATTCCTGATCTCCGTGATCACTTCCAAAAATAAACTGTTTGCCCACAAGACCATGTCCCATGTCATAGATTACGCTTTTGGAGGGAACCTGAACTAAGAGAGTTAGTGCCAGAAGAGGCTGTAGAAAGCACAACATTGGGAAAGAATTCTAAGATATGTCACACACCTTTCAGACCCCGTTGTAGGACCCTTACTGCTGGTGGTAAGTGAGCTGGTGATGAGCTTTGGCCTGTGGCGAGTTACAGTGACTCACTAGGGGTGCATTAGGATGTCATGCATATGGAACGTAAAGCATGGGCCTACATGGTAGCAGTGGTCCTTTAATCGAACTGAGGTCAGGGTAAGAAGGACTGTGGGTCAGGCTGACTTTTGCTAAGGGCTTTAAAAGCCTCAAATAATAATGACAGGCTCAAACCAGCCAACTATCAATTTAAGGCGCTCTGTGACTGTCCGGCAGCCTCATGGTAACCTGAAGAAGCCCTTATCTCCTGCAGGCACAGGTCACTGTATGATGAAAATTGGTCCAGGATTATTCACATCTCTGAATGCTGTTGGTTTTATTTTCTCTTCAGCCATGTTTAATCTCTTGCTTAACCTATCAGTGGGTGTTTTGTGTTAATTAAAATAATAACTGATTATGTTTTCCATTTCTAGAAGGTTTTTTTTTCTTATTGGGGGAGGAGACTCTCTTTCAAATTACTTGGCCACAGTCTCTTGTCCCTTGATCATATTTTTAAGATCTTATTTCTTTAAACACATACATAATTATTTTGTGTGTCTGGTAACACTAATATCTGCCGTTTTCTGGATGTGATTTTGTTGTCTGGTGCTTCCAGTGGCTCTCACTCAGTGACCTTTTTTTCCCTTGTGCATTTTGTGACTTTTTTCTTGACAGTGAGTCCCCTATTTCTCTCAAAAGGTATCCACGGGGAGTCGTTGAAACCTATATGGAACTTGCATTTCTCCAGAGAATGTTTGCAGTTTATCCTTTTCTAAAAATTGATTCTTAGTTTTGTTACTTTGCAGTCAGAGAATAAGCCTTGTAAGATTTCTCAATTTATAAATCAAGTTGTCTGTTGTAATAAGTATATAATTAACATTATACGTTAAGGATGTTCCATGCACTGTTTATAGAAAGGCACATTCTGTAGCTGACCACAGACACCGAGGTGCAGGATGTCCTATTGTCACTTAACCTTTATCTCTGAGTCTGTGCTGCCAGGGAGCCAGGAAATTCCAGCTCGGTCAGTTTTTTTTTTTTTTTTTTTTTTAACAACTTTATTGGGGTATAAGCTCGGTCAGTTTTGCGGCCCTGCTCCCTCAGGGCTGCACTGGAATGAGGGAGATTCAGTGGTACCCCAAGCCTAGGGACAGGGACAGTGTGGATATCTCATCTCCACTTCCAACCCAGGCCTGCAGGCCCCCTGAAGTCCTAAGGCACCTGTTAGTGCCTGAAACAGACAGTGGGCGGAGTTTACTCAGGTGGACGATCCCAGAATTTCTGTCCAGCCCCCTCTGTCCCTACACAGCTTTTCTGCTCCGACATCAAGGAATAGTAAGAAGGTTGTGTAGCTGGAGAATAGAAACTTGAAAGAGACTGGGGCACCGGAGTCAGACCTGGGGGAGCCCCTTTATAAGTAGGGCGATAAGCCCCGTTTCCCGGGGCTTTTCGGTTTTTGCCTGCCGCTGGGTGAATGGGTTCATGCTTTCATTGTCAGGGTTGGGTTGGAGTTATGCGGTCGCTTCTACTCTTAGATCAGGAGGGCCCAATAGAAAGCCAGGGAGGGTTTAAGTGCGGGAGTGAAATGTGGTTTACATTTTATAAAGTTCCCCTGGGCTCTGCTCAGTGACAAGAGGGCGCTGGCGGGGGCCAGAGTGAAGGCAGGGGCACGAAGGGCGCAGAATGGGTGCCAGGAGCGAGCATCTTGGGGCCCTCGGTTGAAGCTCCCTCACCGGTCCCCCCTTCCGTGGGGTCCTCCGGCCAGGAGAGGTGCCCCAGCGGCGCAGCCCCACCAGGCCTGACCTTGAGCGAGGCCAGTCTGGCTTCCGGCCACGAGCCTGGATCTGAAATGGTGGAGAAATGCTGGTATTTCCCGGCTGACGTGGAAGGGATCAGGTTACCTTCTGGTCCCGCGGGCGGAGCCGGCTCTCCTAGGAACGGGTGGCAGGGAGCGGGGACTGAGGGAGGGGCCCCAGCCGGCAGGCCGACGGGGTACTGGGGAAAGGCGGAGCACGGCCCGGCAGCTCGGGACCGACCGGAGAGGGAGGCCGGGACGTGGAGCTGGTGGGGGGTGGCCGGCGCCAGACCGCCCGGGCCGGGGAGGGGCAGACGCTGCGCCAGGCGCGGGAACCAGGGGCCGGAGAAGGGGGAGGGGGGTCCCCGTCCCGGAGGCGGGGCGGGTGACCTCTGAGCCACAGGGAGCAGATCGGGGCCGGGCGGGGGCAGGTCCGGGCGCGACGGAGGACGCCCACCGCGGCCCGGACGCCGGAGCCAGCGCGCCAGGCCCCCGGGGTCCCCTCCCCTCTGCTTTCGTCCCCGCCCCTCTCC